GGTCCCTGGTTCTTAGCTGCCTTTCTCTACGTAGCTCAACCAACCAGTTTTTCTACAGCTGTTGAAAAATGCATTTTCCCCAGTCTTTCCTCTATCTTTTTCCTAAGCAGACGATTGAGACTTTTTTCTTGTGCTTTTCCTGTCTAAGTAGGTTCGTTTCACAGCTGTTGACACTTAGTGATTTTCAGTTGCCTCCCTTCCCAGTTATTCTCAGTACAAGACAGCCTGCCTAAGCAAGCTTCTCTTGCCTTCTCTTCAGAGACTGATAGGTGTGAGAGCCCACAATTGTGAGTTACCAGGCAGTTGTTCCTGTGCAAATCTTTTTTTTTTCTTATACTAAAATAGGATGGAGAAAACACTTTAAAAACAATAGAAGAACCTACAAGCATGGCTATCAGAGTTCATCCTTCAAAACCCCATGCAAGGGGTTTCCTTATCATTGTAGGGTCAGCACAGATTCAGCTCCAAACAAGTATGCTCATGACATGTTAAGTCCAACCTTTATATAGTTCACGGGTCTTTTAACTGGATAGAGAATAAGAGCAGCGACCTGTGTCAGACGTTAGTCACATTGTGTAATGCACTACTGAAAGTTGCTTAGATACAAGGATGATTAGCATGATTTAGGAACCTATCTAGAATAGAATAGACTGGAGTGATTTTCCTCCTTTCCTGGATCCAAGCTGTTATCTTCATGCCTTTTTCCTACAGAGGCTCTGTGGCAGGGATGGGCAAGAGGCTGTCAGCAGGCCAGGTCCAACCCACCAAGCCACTGGATCCATCCCGTGGCTGCCTTGCTGGAACCCTTAAGGCAGAGAACAGCACTCGCTTTAAAAAGCCCACTGTTCTCCATTTTGGATGGCTGGGGAGAGAGGATGGAGACTTCTCATGCTGTTCCTGCCCCCTCCCCCAGCAAAATCTCTTAGCTTCCATTGGCCAGTCTTTCAGTTTCTAGCCAATAGGAGCTGAGCATTTTTGCTGGGAGCAAGGGCAGTATAGGAAGCCTTCTCCCTCCCTGCTCATCCCCCCCCCCCCTTCCCCAGCACGGGTCTGCCTCAAGTTTCTGCTGGTAAGCACCTCCCAGCCAGAGTCTGCCTCTGACACTTCAGCTTTCTTCCCCCATGCTCTGCTCCCCTCTATATTCCCAAACTCTCTGCCCCCTCCTACGCCCAAACCAACCCCCTTCCAAATCTGGCACCCCAATCTCCTGCCCCAGATCACAATCCCTTCCTACCCTAGGTCACATCCTTAAATCCTTCATCCCAGTTCCAAGGTTGCCAGATGGTTTCAACAAAAATACCAGACACACTTGACATTACATCACAATCTACATTACATCTTATTTAGAAAATACCAGACATTTATATTTTTCTCATTTATACTTTTCTCAATTTGTTTCCCGAAGAGAAAGCTCAAATATTGGACTCCAGTTCAAATCCGGACACCTGGCAACCCTACCTAGTTCCCTGCTCTAGGTCACAACTACCTCTTTCACCCAAGCTCCCTCCCAGACCCCGTTCTCCCTCCTGCACCCCAATCCTTTATCCCAAACTCCCTTCTGCTCTCAGCCTCCATCCCAGACCCTGGAATTCCTCCATTAATATCCTGGAAGAGTGCAGCCCTCGACCACTTTCCAAAATCTTGGAGTGGCCCTTTGTCAAAAATTATTGCCCGACTCTGCTCTGTGGCACCTAACTAGATTCATTTGAAAGTTTACTTGAAGGTGGTAGAGCAAGCATGGAGGCAAGATAAAAACAAATTGATTTAATGGGACTAGTGTGGCTGTCTGGTCCCATTTCTCATGTGTTCTGTCACTCAAAACTTAATATCTTCAGGTTGACCAGTTTTTCTAACATACTGTGATTGTCCTAGTTGGCTAAGATCGTCCTCCTGTTTGCCAATTGTAGTGGAGCTAGGATTTTGTCTAGCTATTATTGCTATCAACTAGAAGGAAGTCTGACCACCTCTTGCCATGGTCAGTTTAAGAAGGATCTACAAACTGATTTTTGTCCCCAAATGGAAGTAGGGCTCAATGAAAAAGCTTTCTGTGCCAAACACGCATAGCTTGTTTTTGTTGAACACAACATAAATACCGTTAACACCATCAACTTTTATGAATTTTCACTTTATTAATTATTTATCAAACTGATTTTCTACAGTTGTGCAGAGCACAAAATGCATCACAAGAAAGGGTGTTTAACATCATTGTAATTCTGGTTTTAAATCCATCCAAACTCCTCTTTTCCTTTCATCTCTTCCTCCAGGGAAATTGGAATGCCCACCCTCAGATGTGTCCTGCTTCTTCCCAGTCAGGCTGTCTGATATTTTTTTTTTTAGCTGTCTCGTTACCTTTGTGTGTTCAGCCAGCCAGCTAGCTATTCAGTGCTGACAATTATCTGATGCTCAGTGGCCTAGATCTGCCAGTCCTTCTGAGAGCTGCATGAGAGAAGGGTGAATGAGAGAGAGAACAGGGCTTCCCAGCAGCAAGCAGCTGGATGAAACAAATGTATTTAATTTATCTGATAAAGCCTCTCATTGTACAAAATACTGGCCAGGAAAATAGTACTTGGGTTATAATGCAATCATTAAAAAATATTACATGTTGAGTTACCCTTCAAGTGTGGATCACCTCTTCTTCATTCTTAGTCCAGTCTCTATATCCTGAATCACAGACATAAATTAATGTGTTAATGAATTAAAATGTTAATAGCCAAAGGTAACTGAGAAATTTCTCATTTCTTACTATGATGACTCTTCCTCCTCTACTCTTTTGTACTATCATTTCATTTATCATCCTTTGATGCTGGTCTGATTTGAAGTTATAAACCCTTTGGGAAAGGGATCTGGCTATTTAATCTGTAAAGTGACTCATACGCCCCTATTTATACTGAAGCTGTCATTGAAGCTACTATTTGGAAGTGAAGTTCTTGATTCAAGGCAAAATTCACTATTTCCTCCCATATGTGAATGCAAAGTAGAGATGAGAGAGGCTGGGGTAGTTCCTGACAATATGGTGTATATATGCAACTATTTTGATCAACATGGTCTTGACATTTTGGATGATTGGACTTAAACTGCTATCTGTGAGGAACTGTTCCAGGACCTGTTCTAGTAGTAAATTTTGATTTTTTTCTGGGAGAGGTGGGGTAGAGGGAGTGGACACACAAGATCTTCCTCTCCTAGCTGCCTAGCTATGTCTTGTAAACGGCCTTAAACTATTGCCTTCTCCATCATTTAAATCACTGCACACTGTTTGACCTCCAGTCTTAGTTGTCCTTCAGCCAAACTATAGTAATTTGAGCTAACTCTTCAGTCTTCCCCAAACTTGGAGTCCCTCTTCCTCTTTGGTAAATGTGTGAATAATTGCAACTTAAAAGTCTGATACTGAAGCATAATACATGCAAAATCAAGTGTTGGTGCATCTAGGGAATTGTCTGGCTTTCAACCCTGTATGGTACCCCACATCAGTAGCTTCTAGAATGCTTACTCTTCTTAGCTGGGGATGGTGCACATATCCTGTGCTAGTGCCATCTCCTTGCCACCCTTGGTGGGAGTCTTATTTTATTGAATGTGTACCAGCTTTTAGTAACTGTTTATCTTTATTGCTTCATGAACCATTCTTCCACTAAAGTGGCTGCTCTTTTGACTCCCCAAGTAGTAGCTTATTTGTGCTGTGTGTGTAATTAAACTTTTTCCTTTTCCATTTCTTACATTCTTTCACCTCCCTACAACTAATCTTTGGGGACTTGTTTCATACGATTTTTGTTTCTCCCTCTGCCACTTTCCTTGCCATGCAGAAGCAGTTTTGCTGTTCTGAAATGATTGCAGGAAGCAGTGTCAGGCCACAGTGGAAGAGCTGCCACTCAGATGTGGTGAATGGTGGTTTCTGATAGAGGTGAGATTAGTTTGGAAACCACCAGCAGCTGCAACTCTGAATGGCAGTGCTGCTCATGCAGCTTGGCCTTTTGCCTTTTGGCTATGGCTGTATAACCCCTGACAGTTCAAGAAACCCTTCGCTATTATAGGGATGAGGAGTGAACGATTTCTGGACACAGTAAGCAAATATTTTGGTGGGAGAAGGGAGTGTAAACTTTTAGAGCTGGAGATGGTGGGGAGGAGTTCAGAAAGCTAGGATTTGAGGCAAATTATAGAAAGCGAAAAGGACCCCTGACTTGGGAACTCACTCACCCATCGGTCTGCCAGCGCCTGACTTTCCCATTCCCCAAACTTTCTGGATGTGCTGCAAAGCTTATCCTTCTTCTGGTGTTATGGAAAGGGAGTGATCAAAGCGAGAGACTTGCTGGATTTTTGTTCATATCCAAATGATTGTTTCTGTTTTACCTTGTATTGTGTATGTTGAACGATTGGTATGTATAAAAGGCTTATATAAAACTAAATTAGCTCATAAGAGAATACTGTCAGCCAGTGTAAAAGGGCGCAGGTCCAGTGAAAATACAGCTGCACCTGATCGCACCAATATAGTCTGAGCCAGATCTTAGCCCTGTTGCTCAAGGCAGTGTCTTTTGGTACCGGACAACAAGAACTGAAACTTTCCTGAAGCAAAGCCCCTGTAATACCCGAGTATGGAGGGTGTTTGGGTGTTGGAGAGGGGAGGAGGTGAGAGAATACACCAAAGTTTTGGTCAGTTCTTTATTTAGCCTCCGCTGGGGAAAGGTAACTGGAATAATTCCTGTGCTCTTCATTGCAGCTAGTTCTTGCTTTGGGTAACAGCACTGGTTATGTGGATCAAAACTGCTTTCCTTTTGACTGCAGTAGATTCTATAAAGCAACTTTATAAGTTTGTTAAAGTAGCATGTTGACTAGCTTCTATATAGTAACTTTTTTACAGCATGCAGTAAATGCTGACATCTAATATAAATTGGTAAGAGAATTATTACATTTAGGGGAACTCAAGGAACCTTTTTTGGCATTCCTAGTGTCTTTTTGTCTGTCTTCAGTTTAGCAATGCAAAGCAATAGCTAATGTGTGTTTTCTTACAGTGCCTCCAAAGCCAGTACATCTGCAGAATTCCTTTTTATCCACTGCACACCAAACCCCTACGTGTAAAGCTTTACCTACTGCACGAACAAGAATGGAGGAAGTCACACCTACCTCTGCTTCTTGTGTCTCAAAAGAAAAACCCAGAAAAGTGTCCGATCTCATCAGTCGTTTTGAAGGAGGCAGGTAAGTCACTTGCTTTCTTTTAAAAATAGGGGGCTAAGGGAAGGGGTTTAAGGGCAACATCATTGTGCATGTTACCATAAATAAAATGGCAATAAACTTGTTATAATACCTGTCCCAAGAAGTTTCGCTGGTTCTGTATACATGCACAAGGTCAATTTCTCTACTCAAGATATATGTGAATATAAATTGGAAAGAAAAACGGGATGGGGGTGGGGGAGCTGGAACTGCCATCAGAAGAGAGGTAAATTTTAAGTGAACACCATCTCAGACACCTTCATTTTAAAAGCAGATCTACAAAACAAAAACAAACCCGGGGTAGCTCTTTTGTTTAAAATTTCGCTAAATGATCATAGATATTGTACCGTGACCTTCCAGAAAGCTGTCAAACCTGAGACTGGGCCAATGCTGGAAGCAGCAAAAGGTGTAGCGGATATAGGTGGCATTGGCCTTTCCATATTTCAAGAACATCAGTATTGTGAAGGAACATTTCCTATATGAATATAGGACTACGGTACTTGTACATCGCCAGACCACTAATTTAAGGTCAATGTGCACACGTGCATCAAGGGGCAGAATTTGACATTAAGCTTAGGAAATGTACCCTAAAACAGCAGCAGTCCAGTACTGCAAGAGGAGACTTTATTGTCTAGAAAACCAAGACTATCACAGGGATGATGAACTTGATCTATGAAAGAAAAAGGAGCCTCTCGGATATTGGAGATCACCTCTTTCTGCTACACTACAATGACAGCTGCTAGTAGGAAAAAGGAAATGTAGAGTTGGAGGATTTACAAGAACTTTCAGTTTAGTTCTTCCTCCCCTGTCTCTGTTTTGTTTTGCTTTTAAGCATTCTCCCCCAAGTAGTATTCTCAACATTCTTTTAACAGGATGGTGTCTTTAGAAAATCTTCTCTTACTCTTGCATCAGCTTTAACAGTTATCTGGTGATTTATTATAGGCCTTGTTTAACAAGAGAGAGAAAATGCAGTGAAGCTGCAGGTTACAGTGTGGGTTAACTGACTCTGGTTACATCATGTGATGAATGTTCACCCAGCCTTCAAACGGAACTGTTTCATTTTTGGTTAAGTAGGGAAATAAAAGAAATCAGAGTGTAGCCTTTAAGACTTCCATCCCTCCCAGCTTCTTCCAAAGTTTTATCTTCTAGAGAGAAACGAGACCTTGTGCATCTCCTTGATGCAGAGTTGGGTGAGAGGGAGGGGGGAAAGCTAGGGAACCTGTTAACCACCCTCAAATATCAAGGTCTCCTGGCTGGTAATTACACAGGTAGCATGCTTTGGTAGCCATCACCTTCAGATGGGGAGGTATGTTAGTTCTGTCTTTTGGGGATGTCTGAATGGTTTTGAGAAGTCAGTACTACTTTTTGCAACCAAAGAGAACTATTAATATTATGCTAACGACCTATTATTCCCTATTTACAACATTTGTTCTTTTCTTTACAAACCCAGGGATTGTCGTACATGAAGAGATAATTGGTCTGTCTAGTATTCAGTCCCACACACTAGTCTGAACTGGACTCCTAGAGCTTTGCTAATTCTCTTTTGACAAAAAGCCTCCATAACATGCCTGCAAAATTCTGTGATATATTGTGGGCTGTGGAAAGAGATGTTTTTTCATAACCTCAGGTGGGAGGGTGGTACTGCTCTAAAGCAGGAAGAATAACTGCCTCGGCAAATGCTTTGTTTCTCTATACCCAAATTGTGCAGCTGTGAACTGTAATTTGTGATTGTGAATTATAGTATTAGGTTTTTGTTAGCGTGCACAACCACAAATTTAATAGAAGTGAGGAAGAGTTAAAGTTATTCTTAACTATATGCAGCAATGTTAAAAAAATGGCATGAAAGAAACAAAATGAACCTGCAGGAAGTTACTTATTTTTATGAGTGACAGTAACACAATACACAATTCACTGAGTTTTTAAAAGGGGATACTTTTCACAAAACAAATTACAGTGTGATTTAGATATGTTTATATGCTGCAGAAAACCAAAATCGAAGTGTATTCTTCAAGCCACCAATAAACCGGCTGAGTCCAGAATGTGGTTGTAATACTTATATTAAGGAGGAGTTATATGATAGTAAACCTGCTGTTTCTAACCCTTCTAAATGAATTGTGCAATGGAATTAGTGGTCTTCCCATGTTGCGAACAATGCAGTAGGAGGACTGTATCCTTTAGCACTTTTTATGCAAAATAGTTCTGGAATGATAGTTCATTAAAACATTTTTTGCTTAACAATGAATTGCAAGTAAAACAGTAACATACAAGTATTCCTTTTCATCCCAGTGATTTCACTCTAAAGTAGTCAAATTTGCTTTTATAGAGTGTCTTAATGTTAACAGTAGCCTAGAGTAGTAACCTTGAAAGAATAGCACAGAAAGATCAAATTCAGGGCACAGACTAGTGTTTGGGATTGACCTGGAGAACTGATGAGGCATGATGAAAAAGGCAGCCTTCTTTCCTCTTGATAGTGACAAGGATCTGAAAAGCTGACAATAAATAAGTTGACTTACCTGGGACTGGACTATCGAGCTAAACATATAGAACTATGATAGGAATATAAAGCTTCAATATATTCTGGCAAAGTAAGGAAAAGAGAAAAATTAAGAGTTGCACTCTTGAGTGTAGCCATGGGAACAGTGCGGTCTAGGGACAGAGCACTGGACTAGGATTTGAGAGAGATCTGGTTTCTGGTCCCAGCTCTGCTGCTAGCCTGCCGAATGAGCGAGTCACTCACTGCACTTCTGTCTCATTTGCTCTAGCAGTACAATAGAGATGATAATACTTGCTCTCCTTTGTGATATGCTTTGTGTTTTACTAGTGAGAGGAGTGTAATATAAGTTATTTTTTTTAACAAGCAGATAACGGACAGCATTTTAATTTCTAGAAAGATGTATACTGTTGTCTCTGTGACTTGTTGGATTAAGTATGACATTACACCTTGGAAGGCCAATGTTCGACACGTTCTCCAGAACTGGATGTTTCTAATATTAGCAAATTAAACAGATTTGAAGTTTAAAGTTGCTCAATACAAAAGCCCTCCTAAAATCAAACACTTTTCTAATGTTGCCCTTTTTTTTTCTTCTTATCCTTTAGTCCCTCAAGTCCTAGTGATTTGAAGAAAGAATCCTCTGTTCTAAAGGCTGCTAAAGCTCAAGGAAGATTTGTGTCAGCATCACCTCAGCCAAAACTCCTCTCCCAACACCCACTACAAAAGCAGGGAAATAATACAGATCAAACTCAGGTTGTACAGAAACACACGGTCAATGGAGTAGTAGCACAAAGCCAGATGGAATGCAATGCCAATCAACTATCAGATCATAGCACCAATACAGCCACACAAGCTACAGATATTACAGTCAACAGTAACTTAGTAAATGGGGAAAGAGAAAGCACTACTACAGACTCATTGCATACTATAACTGTCTGCACAGAGCAAACTTTTGACAGCTGCAGGACTCCAAGCAGGGATACACTGCTCCCTTGTGAAAATGAAACTGTAGAAATTAATACTAATGTAGAAGAAAAGCCGAATGAGGAAAAGCAGAATGAGGAACTCAGTAAGGAGGATGAGCATGTAGAAGCAAAGGTAAAACTATATTCTGTATTTATTTTTTTGCTTATAACCATACCTGCTGTTTTTCCAGGTTTTTCATATGAAGATATTTTTTATAGAGCCATTCAAAAAGGAAAATTTTATTTTTCTAAATTTTAAAAAATTGTGTTCAGCTCTACAAATACAATAAAGAAAATAAAACCAAAAATCTTTCAACAGTAGATAGCCTTTAAATGTGGTAGTTATGAAAATGCTGAATGCTTTTAACCTGTAGAAATACACCCAGGATATGCACTGCACAATGATATTATGTCCGAGTGCACCAAAACTGGGACTCCTCAATGATCTTGAATATGGAAAATGTGGCATTCCTCCAAAACTGGACGGTGAAGGAGAAGAGAGAAGGTGTTTTTGGAAAAGACTAACTGACCTGAACTTGCATGTCTATTCATGTTTGTGCTATGAAAAAAGGTGGAGGAACAAATGGTTGAGTAGCAAAAAACACTGTTAACCCAGCAGTATCAGGACATCTGGAGACAGAATTGGCTTGAGAGCTTAGCCTGTGTATAATTGTCTGAACAAATCTAGCAAGACAATAGCAAGCCAGTCGGATGTCCCAGTTAAACAAAAGGAATAAAGGCATACATTTATCCCTTCCTAAAATCCCATTGAGGCCAATGGAATTAGACAGGGGATAGATCTGAGATTCCTTACTAGGGACTTCTTAAAAGGAAACAAGTAGGGGAAAGTGAATAGGCGTTGGAAAATGTAACTGCAAAAAAATCACATCCTGATGCAAAATGCAGATGACTTTGTAGTCCACGAGTCACTGTATTGTAACACAACCACAGCCATCTAAATCTGTGAAAAACAAAAGGAAAAAATTATGTAGCACTTTAAAGACTAACAAGTTAGTTTATTAGGTGATGAGCTTTCCTGGGGTAGAACCACTTCTTCAGATCATATTCTGAAAGTGAATTGGCATGACCATATATAACAAAGGAATACAATGAAGAAAGTAAACCGATTATAATCGAACAAATCAGCTACTAGAATAGAAGGTGGGAGCAAGGGGCAAAGAAGAGACAAGGAAAGAGGAAATAGCTTATTGTAAGTCAATAAGTGGCTAATCTGGAGTTACTACGAATATCGAAAGGTGGGGAGGCTGTCTTTGTAATGTGTAAGGTAATTGGCATCTTTATTAAGGCCTACAGATCTGTATGATTGCCACTTTGCTGCATAGCAGGGTCACTTGGAACTTCAGGGGGATGAAAAGGATAGAACCAAACTGTCGGTCTAGAAAGCATAGCCCCCTAACTTTTGCGATGAAAAGCAATCTCTGGCAACCTAGGGCCTGCCATATGCACTTGAACATTGCTAATTCTGTCTGTCTGTCTCTCTCTCATGCGTGCACCCACCCATCTGTGTCTGTCCTTCCCTACTTGTTCGTTTGCTATAGGATTATGTATTTTAGCAGTGGTGGATGGAGGCTCTCATGGGTTTGCAATCATGCTTTTTTTTCTCTTGAGTATTTTGTTCCCATGAGTTTTCTTGTGTACTTTGTGTTGGGTTTTCACTGGACACTTGATTTTGTATAGGCGCTGATCCTGGGTGTGCAGATAGAGTGCATGGGAAAGGTAGGTCTCACATGTGAAGTGTTGAATACCGTAGCCAGTGAATGGGAGGTTATATTTCTTGCTGATACGAGCAATGTTAGGATCCCATCTGTGTGTAGGCCTGATAGGACTCCAAAGCACCTTTGCCCTGCCACACCTTCTATTATATTTATTTACTGCCTGTCCTCTGATGCCTTTCTTTTTATGGGCACGGCTAGGTTAATACAATACACTTCTCAGGCAGTGCAGAATGGGAATCCAAACTATGCAACAAGTGCTGGCAGTACTCACAGGAAAAGGCAGAAATGTGATGTTGTCAGAACATAAAATACAGGAAGGAACTGGGCAAATGCTTGGAGAAAATGCTAACGAGAGCAACCCCATCTGTGCCTGCCCTTGGCTTCCTGGAGAACCAACAGATGTTCTCTGTCCTAATCAGACCAAAAAGAAAAGATGTAATATTGGAGCCAAGTACAGCTAGATGCACTAGCTTTTTAATGGCAGTAGAATAAAGAAGCCACAGTGGTTAAAATCTAGAACCGCAATACCCTCTCTCAGCAGCATTCCACAGACAGTCTGTACGTTGAACCTTTCTAATCCCGCACTCTTGGAACCTGACTGGTGCTGAACCAGAGAATTTGCCAAACCATGGGAGGTCAATATTGTCTAGCACAGTGTTTCTCAACTTTTTTTTAAAAAATACACCCCCCCCCCCCCCCAAAATACAGCCGGTCCCCAAGTTACGAACACGTCTACTTACGACCGTTTGCACTTACGACCAATGTCCCATTAAGCCTATTACAGCCAGTCCCTGACTTGCAACCACACTATCCACACTTACGAACAGCACAGTCGGTTTAAAAAGCATGTATTCCCAACTTATGAACAAATCGAGTTACGACCAGGTGTTTGGTATGTAACCCATTCGTAAGTCGGGGACCGGCCGTAATAATAATTATAAGTAGCCCCAGTACCTACAGTTTTCCAGACACACACAATTTTTTCCTACCATTGTATAAACAACTTAATCGTAGCCGGGCGGGCGATGAAATTTTTGGGTTTAAAAAGTACAAAAATAATAAAGCGCTGTAAAACTTAAAACAAAAATTCAGTTTTCTCCAAATTTCAGTTGTGTTGACGTACCCTGACATACCCCCCAGACTCTTCTTGAGTATCTCTAAGGGTACTCGTATCACTGGTTGAGAAACACTGGTTTAGCAGCATTACCAACGCTTCCACTGCTTACTGGGCTCTTAGCTCAAGTTTACCCCTAAATATCTTCTAACAGTACAGAACCCTGAGCACCATGACTGGTAACGGTACATGCACTTTATGGGACCACAGGAAACTTGAGCACACTTATGATGAGTGAACAAATCTCTGGCTAACCAAAAGCATGCCAGACCACGGATGTTGCCGGACTAGAGAGGTTCAACCTGTATTACGTTAGAGATTACAGCAGTTTCTCTTCTATATATTCATTTGCAATTCGCACAAGACTATCATCCAGTCCTGCATACAGACTTGTTATCTTCTTCAAGAAGCAGAATTACTCTGTGAAAAAGCAGATGTAAAAGGAATTGCCCACACACACACATGCACTAATTTAGATATGTAGTTGCTGTTAATGTCCCAACTTGACAGCCAAAAAGTAGAGCAGGAGAGTGTGTGTGTGGCCTAATGATTAGTGATAGCAGTAGATATCAACGTAATTCTGTGGCTCTCTAGGGGAGCAGTGAAGAGGAGCCACAAGTGTTTGACGGTGCTTCAAAGTTGTGGCTTGGGCTAGGGTTGCCAACTATCTAATTGCACAAACCCAGAGGCTTGCCCAGCTCCCTGTCCTGCCCCTTCTGAGGCCCTGCCTGGCTTACTCCATCCCCCTCCCTCTGTGGCTTGTTCTCCCCACCCTCATTCACTTTCATCTGGCTGAAGCGTGGTTGAGGTGCAGGCTCCGGCCACGTGGGACTTATCTTCATGGGGCTCCTGGTCAGTGGCGCAGCAGGGCTATGGCCCCAAACTGCTCCTTGAAGTGATCGGGACATACCTGCAGCCCCTGTCGGGGAGGGGGGTGGGGAGGGCTCTTCATGTTGCCCTTCCCTTCAGCAGTCACCCTTGCAGTTTCCATTGTTGGCAATCCCCAGCCAATTGGAGCTTTGGAATCATCTCTGAGGGCAGGTACAGTGTGTGGAGACCCTCTGTCCCTCCCTCCAAGGGCCACAGGGATGTCCTTGTTGCTTCCAGGAGCAGCATAGGGAGCCAGGAAGCCTGCCTTAGCCCAGCTGCACCTCCGGAGATTAGTAGCCTAAAATCTCCTGGATTCGCTTCAGTAGCCTCCTCCAGGAGTTGGAGCCCAATTACAGGAGACTCTTGTTGAAATCAGGAGGGTTGGTAAACTTAGCTGGAGCTCAGTCCCTGATGCCCATCCTCCTCCCTATGTTTCTAAGCCTTAATCACTATCTGTAGCAATGAACCTCCCAGCCCAATCCATTATGTCTACATGGCTGTTTTTAGCACAGTACCATGCACCCCGCCAGGTAGGGTTGCCAAACTTTCAGGATTGACCTGAGTCTCCTGGAATTGAGATGGATATTTAATTAAAGGTATAAAACCTCCAGCGCTGCGTTCAACCAAAACTGGATTCTCTGTGCTAGCCCCACTGTGTTCTTGGACGGGGGTGTTTGTTGCTGCGATATGTGTAAATATATCGAGAGAGGCTCACAGCGGTAGCAGATAAGCAAGGAGACTGAAGTAGAGACAGTTGTGTCTCGTCTAGACGATAGAATGATATTTACCAAGTGCTAGGCCTACATGTAACACACCTTGGGGCAAAGAAGGTGATTTAATCAAGTTAAACAGAAGAGGAAGGAAAGTAGATTACACAACAATAGTTATGTTACGTCTAGATATTCATGTTTCAATATTACCCGGAACAACCACAATGTGTAGTTTATTTTGAAGTGTTAGTAACTGAAAGTATGAGGCTAAGGAAGCTACAGAGACACTTGAGAAATTAACACCTGGAATTCATGAACATAAGTTGTGCTTTTTTCCTTCAGAAACTCGATTAAATTAAAAACGGACAAAAAAGTTGTATCTAATGAAGTAGCTTCTTAGAGGCATCTTATGTGGTCATGAGAATTGCAAAAGGCAAACAAGCACATCCGTTGGACAGGACCTGTCTCTTTCCAGTGGCAATAGACCTATAGAAGTACAATTGGGGCACAATCAGGCATGACACTGAAAAAACAATTTAGTCAATTAACAGCATCCATCGATGGAGTGATGACTTTGCAGAAAATACCCAAGAACAGTTGATGGGGGGAAAAAAAAGTTAATATTTTTGCTTTCTTTGCTCAACCGCAGACATAGTTAACCTAGTTCCACTTCTGTGTTTTCTGAAATTTATGAAAGCAAGTG